CGCCGCTCTGTCTGTTGTATAACCCCTGTTTTGTGTATTCTGGGGTATTTTACTCATGTGCGAGAGTTCGTCTGGATTATCTGACATTGGTTTTAGTCTTATTATGTATCCATGCATGATAGATGACCTGAGGGTATAAATTGGGGACTTACACACTGATTTGAGTGTGGATTGATATAAGTAGGTTTTTCTGTATATCTCAGTCCTCGTGTTGGACAAGCATTACCTTTTTGTCCTCGTGTTGGACACCCTTCCCACTTAGTCCTCGTGTTGGACATGCATTGCTATTTAATCCTCGTGTTGGATATGCATTACCATCCGGTCCATGCGTTGGACAACGGTCACATCCGGTCCATGCGTTAGATAATGGTTATAATCAGTCCATGAGTTGGACGTTTAATTTATATAGTCTATGTTTTGGACACTTAATCGTTTTCTGACATGTCACTCATGTGAGTTTATGTCATAACACTTATGTAAATCTCGATATGATATTCATGTTAGCTATGATATGGCCCTGTATTTGTGCTCTTAGATTAGCTGTATTTCCTTTATTATTGTCTTCTGTACTAGAACTTCGGGTTTGGTGTTTAGAGATTTACAATTTGAGATACAAGGTATATACATGAGGGTTTCCTTGTTTGGATTATTTCGCTCGACGTACCTATGCTCGTGTTGTAAATTTCTAAGTACTAAAACCCTCTTTAGTAGGATCAATGATTTTAGATCTATTATATATTATCAGTATTTTCTTATACAACGAGCCCTGTTCCCTTGGGGTTGGTTGTGATGTTACTCGCTAGCGCTTTGACGCTCGTTGTCCCTCCCCCTTTCAGGTAACGAGCCAGGAGCCCGGAGAGTCGTAGACTGATGGTGATGCATTTTAGCTTCAGCCGTCTTTTTAGTTATATTTTCTTTTGGAGTTCCACAGTAGATTTTTATTTAGACATTTGAGAGTCTTGTTCTAGAAGTTGTAAAGGCTGTGTGCCTTATTTCCTTTTTGTCAGATATTTGTATTTTGAGACTTGTTGAGTATTTCAGTTTATCTACTCAGATCTTAACTATGTATTTCTGTATTGTTGGATGATGAGATATTTATGGTGACTATTATCATTTCATCAGATTCCTCGTATTATCTTTTACCTGTTTTGTACCTACACCAGTTATTGACTCTACTAGATAGATGTTAATTGTGATGGTGAAACATGTTATTGCACGGTGTGGTGCATAGCAGGTTTGACATTTTTGGTTTTACCTTGGACTGCAGCCTTGTGTGAACCCAGGGGCGTCACAGAGTCGACTCATCGCTGGTTTTTGTGTTTTGTCCAGTTTCGGATGAGTCGACTCATCTCAGTCATGAGTCGACTCATCGAAGGTTTCCTGGTTCGTTTGGGTTTCTGTTTGCATGAATTCCTGTTGGGTTTAGGCTTGCTTATTTACCACTTTGTCATCCACGTTGTTACACCTATATAAGGGATTGTTTAGGGTTTCTAATCAATCAAATGTAATCAAATAGAGATTCTAATCAAGAGAGATTAGGGTTTAGAGAGAATTAAGAGTTTGTTCTCGATTCTAGTGAGATTGTGAGAGAGGGATTGTAATCTTTTCATACTCATAATCTAGAGAGGATATTTTCCTTCGCCAAGTGAGATTGTGAGAGAGGGATTGTAATCTTTTCATACTCATAATCTAGAGAGGATATTTTCCTTCGCCACATACTGAATTGTTCTTGTATTTCTGTCATCCTCTTCTCAACCCACCTTTGATAATTCCGCGATCAAAGGTGCTCGCACGATAACTCATATCAATTTTGTTCTCATCTGTTTAGAGAACAAAAATCCATATTCACACTTATTGTTTAAACACGTTGTAATACACAAAGATACTTAAAGGAGTGGTTTGGTTGCAAATCCTAGTGAGGGGTTGTAATTCGAAACATTTGAGGTAGTTGACACGGGTAGTCCAACACTTAGAGAAGTGTGGTTTGTGTGATTGACATTGTGTGCATTGTAAATGTTTTCGGTGAACTTTAAAAACTGTTTTGTGTAGTTATTGAGTGATCATGGATATCTCCTTCAGGTGAGGAGCAAAGACATAAGTTAAGGGTTGACCGAACTTCGTGATCATATATTGTGTTTGCGATTTTCTTTGGCGCACTATTTTACTTTACATATTGTGCTTGTTTTTATATCGCCTATTGTCTCATTGTTTATCCTTGCATATCTTTTTGTATACCGTATTACTAGGATATTGCTTTATAAGTTTTAATTTGGCATCGTAATCGGATTAGATTAGCTTTACCCTATTCACCACCACCCCTCTCCTTTAGGGTACTTTCATTTGATATCAGAGTATGGTGCTCTTGATTTGTGGCTTAATCGCCTAGAGTCAAAGATCCTGGATGTTCTATTTTGCTAATCTAGATTTGTGATTTTACTTGCTTGCATCATCATCATGGATATACACGGTGCACCTAGTTTAGGCTATACTATAGATGTTGCTCTTTCGTTCAATGCTTTCCCTTATGTTCAATGGAATTTTAGATTTAAACTATTTGTTAGATCTATACATGTCGACTTATGGGAAGTAATTGATTGTGCTTATGTTGTGCTCACGTTGGAAAAATCTAAATGGAGCAAAGATGATAAGAAGATGTCTATTTTGAACAAGCTATTGTTAGAACTTTTGCTTAAAGCTTTTTATCCATCTATTTCTAACAAACTTGCTTATTTTGATAGTGCTTATACATTATGGAAACATATAGAGGCACATCACGACAACTTGGGTAAAATCCAACGCATTTCGATGGGATCCGCTTCAAGTGTGATTGTTGACAATATTGGAATATCTTCACGCACACGGCCACTAGGCGATTGCTCTAGTGAGGTATGCGAGTCCGAATTCAAAAGTGAACTATCTATAGATGAACTTGCATGTGCATATGAAATATTAATGAATGCCTACAACAAATTGCATCACAATTTCATGTGTTTGAAAGGCAAGCATGTAGAATTAACATTCGATCATGATTTGCTAGCTAGATTTGATATCATTGCTAAAGAGAATGTGATTCTTAAAGATAACAATGATAAATTAAAATTGGATCATGATGCTTTGACCTTGAATATTGCTTGCCTATCTCATGAAAAGATTGATGCTATGTTAGAAGTATAAGCTATTAAAAATAAATTCACTTCATTCAAGAATGATCATGTTTTCTCCACTTCTATTACTAATGTTGTTGTGTCAAATAATAAGTTGAATAATATGAAAAATAATATTTCTTCTTTAGATTCAACCTTAATAACATGTATTAACAATCATAAGAAACTTGTGAACATGTGTGCTAAGTCACGTGCTACTGCTTCCAAACCACCCGTTCACTATGCACATATGTATAGCAAAGTTTACAAATGCTCTATTTGCGATCATAACAGCCATATTGTAAAATTTTACCATGCTGCACAAAAACCCATTATTACCGATATTATTGCTCCTTGTGCATCTCATCAAGTCTCTTTAACATGCACACACACACACATGCACCCATTGTTCATCCCAAGCATGTTGATGTATTTAAATACGAATTTTGTGGTAGATTTGATCATTTGGCGAAATTTTGTTTTCATTTGTGAAAAGTTTCAAATTTGCAAAATGCTTCAAAAAGACCACCTTTGTTTAAAAATGATTCTCGTGCACAACTAAATGGTCAACAAAAATAAGTGCATCTATTCTATTGAACTTATTATAACAGGATGGGTCATTTGCGTGATTTTTGCTATGACCGGATCCGTGCACTAAATACGCTCAAATGGGGTGATAACCCAAAGTATTGAATTATATTGATAGGGGTCATGTCCCTAAACTCTCTGGCATCAAAAGTGTTCGGGTATCAAAACTCGTTTGATTTTAAAATAAGTTTTTAGCGTTTCTATTTTCATTTTTTTAAAACGTGTTTGCAAAACTTATTTTTGGAAATATATATTGATCAAAA